TTTCTTCATTTATTATTTAAGTAAAAATATGTTTCTCGTATAGGCCTATTTATTCGTTATATATATATATATATATATATATACACAAGAGTTTCGGTTCATTTTTGTGCTGCACGAAATATATATAGCCTAGCTTTATTATGTTTTTCTCTGCTCGCAGAAGCGCTGCAGGTGAGTGATGTGATATAATATGACCATGTGAATCCTCATGTTCTGTTGTTTGCTGCTTTTTGCACATGTAAAATTAATCCCCGGGAAACAAATGTTAGTATTTTTAACGGGTCACAGACACTTAGCCTTTCTAATTTAATTCCTTTCTAATTTAAAATAATCTTATTGGTTTACGATTAATAATTGGTTAATCGGTTTTCTAAGTAGGGAGTTGAACTTCAAGTGGAGTCTCCAAGTAGGTAGTTGGAAATTCAGACTTCTCCAGCTGAATGTTAGGCAGCATTAGGGCTGCAGCAGCACATGTACCTGCCTGAGGGCTGTACTGGCTGTACTGTAGCAGTGCTGCTCTAGAGACCTATAGAGAAGCTGACCTTTCTATTTCTGCTCAGTACCTTGCTCCCTCATTCATAACCCTCGGTCTATGCCAGCCTCTGTCTTTCCCAGCGCCAGCTCAGCACTAAAACATCCCTACAGCCGGATGATGCAGGTTAGGTTTCTCTCTCTCCCTCTGATTGTGTCTGTTTTGGTGGATCAGATTCACACTGGTGCCATCAGTAGACACAGCCATTAGCTAATACACAAATCTCAGAATTGAGCTTAAATCGATATATGTACACTAAAACATCCCTACAGCCGGATGATGCAGGTTAGGTTTCTCTCTCTCCCTCTGATTGTGTCTGTTTTGGTGGATCAGATTCACACTGGTGCCATCAGTAGACACAGCCATTAGCTAATACACAAATCTCAGAATTGAGCTTAAATCGATATATGTACAGTAACATTATGTGTCATTTTCCTTGAAAGGCCGCCCTGCGTAAAGTCCATCCTGTACGTTTCATCTACATGCTTAATTTTTATCATACTGAAATCAGTGTATTCCTCTGTAATTCCTCTGTAATACTTACTGTACATTATTTGATGGCATGACCTCACTCGTAAGTGTTCTTATCTTTCTTTGTACTTTCACTGTACTTGTTTCTGATTGTTTAACATCATTTGATATTGTATGACCGTAAGTACTTTTTCCACTTTAAAACAAAAGTTTTACTAGTAAAGAAATAAAAACTACTGTTAAAATGTTTAAAATGTTGTACACTTACATAACATAAAGTAGTGCTGGGCGGTATACCGGTTCATACCGAATACCGGTGTTTATTTTTGTTATGATATGAATTTTTAAAATACCGCAATACCGGTGTATGCCGCTTAAACAACGTTCGGAACGCGACACTGTTTGAAAGGGGTTTCTCTTTTGAAAGGTTTTTCACTGTTGCACTGTGGTGAGGGAACTAAGCATATGCTGTATGTGTTACTAAGCGTGAAAGTATTTCCTCTCTCAATCAGTAGAAAATATGGTTAACACCCGGTCATGCATGAAAAAAAAAAATACCGTCATGTACCGTGAAACCGGTATAATTTTGAAAAATACCGTGATATAATTTTTTGGTCATACCGCCCAGCCCTAAGATAAAGACACCAATAATAAGTTCCATAAAAAGCTTTATTCTACATAAGTGTAGTCCTGATTTTGCGGAGTTAGATGTGTTCCTAAGTCAACATATTTTGTTGACCCTGGAACAACATTTTAATCCAAAAATTTAGCCTTGACCATATCCCTACACCTAAACCTAACCTTAACCACGAGTAATCCCTAAAATCAGAGGAAATGATAGATGAATGACACTGATGTACAAGCACCAAACACTGATTATAAGCCTAAACTTTACAAAAACTATAAACTGGTTCTTCAAATCTGATTGGTTAATCACAATGTTGTTCCAGGGTCAACAAAGATGTTGATCCAGGAACATGTTGCACTTGGTAAAATCAGGTTCTGCATCCCTCATAGTGGTCCTCAGGTTGATATAACGTGACCTCGTTTTTACTAATGCATAGAAATAATCAGCAATAAGACGCATCTTAACTTCATTGCAAGAACAGATAGTGGTCCAAATGGCACTTAAAATGAAAATCAATGGCCAAAAATCTCTGCAGTGTTCACAATGTTGATCTATAATGGCAGGGAGTACAGTGAAAAATAGACATACTGATTTCATTGGCAACAAACATTTTTTCCTTATAAGTACTTTATAAGTCCAAGGCCTATGGTAAATGGCCAATGGTCCAAATTAACATAACATTTACAGTAAATATTATGTAACATAAGATTTAGTGCATCTCAAATCAAAGTATGTTGAAAATAGTATGCAAGAAGTGCATCTTGTGGGTTTTTGAAGTGTTACATCTGTGCAAGCTTCTTAGGTTATATCACCTCAACTCCTTGTTATTTTGTCTGATTTATATTATCACCTATTACTCAATCGCTGTCATTCTAAAAAGTATGTACTTTCTACATTATCAGGGCCTAATATACTTTTAGGGAATGTTGCTGTTACGCAAACTGGGACGCGGTCTCAAAATGATTAAGATATGACCTTTTCCATAATGACTGATGCATTGCAGAGTTGACGACAGTCTCTGTAGAGCAGCTTTGGGTTAAATACTTCACTCACGGTCACATTAGCTGCTCCCTGTGTAAGATTAGAAGCTCTGCTTGAAATGCTGCTCCCAGAGTCTGTTGCTAATCTCACTCGACCTCTCCTCTTTTTCATTCCAACTACGCCCCTTATCCTCCTCGATCTATGCTTCCCTCTGGTTTTTAATACCCTCCAATATCCTCAATTCCATAATTGACTCTTCAAACGTTTGGCTGCGGCTAAGTAACGCAAGTAATTAATTGAATTGCAGCGTGGAGGCTGGTGAGCTGGGCTGCATTAGCACAGTGACTCAGGCAAGCACTGAGGGGTGCAGAAAAAGAATAGAGGTGAAAATGAAGCTGAAGAAGTGAGAATGACTACTTTCTTGTGAAATGGAAGTGATAGCCAAAGTGCTGGGTCTTGTCAGACGTTTTGGCAGCTTCTATGCATTCAATGCAAATGCTTGGTGACAATTTTATTGAAAAACGCCAGCCTGTTATCTTGACTTACAGGGAATTATGATCTCACTGCTACAAGGATGAAGTTATCGCTCAACTGTCATCTCAACGCAATAAAGTCCCCATGAAAGGTAGTGCAGGGCATATCGAAGTGAGAATGTTGTGACTCTAAAGTAAGCATCTCAACAGAATCTGGTTTCAGTTCATTAAAAGCAGTTTGGAGCAACTACAAACATACTGACTCCCAACAAAATATCATGAGTCATTGGGTGGGCATCTGTTAAATTTTTGTAAGCAAGTTCAACTTATTTGACAGTTGAGGAGCACAATCTGTTCTTTGAAGTGCCTGGAAGACAGTGTGCAAACTCACTCTGGTGTTGTTCCTTTCGGCCTTCAGCTCTGAAATCTCCTCCTCCTTCTCCAGCAGCTGTTCCCTGCAGGCGTTCAACTCTTTCGTCAGGGCGGCAAACTCCTGCAAGACACCAATGCAATACATCCTCATTAAACACACCTGAAACATCTAATTATGGTCTTCAAGGTTTACTGGAAACTTCTAGGCAAGTGTGAGATTGGTGTAGGTTTGAGCTAAACTCTGCATGACATTAGCCATGTTTCCATCACCCTGTTCTTATGCACATTTTGAAGTATCGCATCAGAAACGAGTGATGGAAATGCCACATTTCGAATAAAAATCCCTTAATTTTTTACGTTCGCTTGAGGTGGTTTTTGACTTATGCGAAAAAGGGTTAATGGTAATAATGGCAGATGGAAACGCATTTGCCGAGTAAATTCCTCCATGCGCATCAAAATGTTATGTGACTTTGCACTATAGGACGGCAAAACCTGACTAACCAGCGGACCGATCTTGTTCCACAGCATCTGAAATGTTGTTATGGTCATTTTGAAATGCCCGAGCAAAGTCTGTCATCAAAGTATTTCTGTATAATTGCCTCCCAGAACTGTTACATGACTGCGGTCCCAAATAGCAGGCATCCACCTCCGAAAGCAATGACCTCATTTATTTTGTTTCGTCTGCTCGCTCTGAGCCGCAAGTAATTTATTACATATGAAAATTATTATATTAAATGGCTTCTCCTACTTTTCTTAGTGATATATAGTGCCAGTTTACCAGGAAGTGACGATTTTGTTCTCTTTGACTCTTTGGATTGAAACGGTGCTTAAACCCGGCTATTGACCCTCTTGGAGCAGGAGCAGACTCCCCTGCCCTGCCAACAAGAGTTGAGGAGTCATATAAAACAATATACCGGTATTATTTTAAAGGGGTCCTATTATGCTTTTTCACTTTTTCAACTTTAGTTAGTCTGTAATGTTGCTGCGATGCAATGCAACACGTAAAAAGACAGTATAAGTCATTATAATCAGTAATTATGTCCCCAATGGATGCTAAAAATGCCTAGTTTGTAATGGGTTTTATTGGTTTTGTCTCATCGCACCGGGACACGGCATCACAGTATGGTAAGGGGCGTAACATTTCCGTCACACGCTTGAGGTATTCGGCCAACCACAACGCACTGGATAGCTGGCCAATCAGCATACACCTCGCTTTTCAAAATGATGAGCTTTGTTGTTCTCAGGGTCGTTGTCATAAGTAAAAGTACTACAGACCTTCATACTTGTGGAGCAAATTTCAGTCAAGAAGTAATACAATTCAGTATCTACAACAAAAAGACCGGAATTTGGGAACAGCCATTAACTTTTGTGGCCCAGAAATGTTCAGCAAATGCCACGGCTGAAGAGAAATGACAACAATGTGTAAGTTTTCACTTCTGGGAAAGCAAAATCCCACGAGTAAAAGGTACAGATTCAATGTACTTGTGGTAATCTGAATTCAGTGCCACAAAGAGGATTTCAGGAATGGTAGGAATGGGGTCGGAATTGACTAAGGCTGGTATATGGAGTATGACGCAAGTGGTGATGCAATTGTTTTTACATGGTACATTTAGGTGCCCCAATAAGTAAATGTGAAAAACAACCCTGCGACTACAACTTAGGTAACCATTTGATAATAAGCTAAATGAATCATCCCAGGTACAGGCAAAAGTAAAATAAAAGGACAATGAATCATTCCAGAGCACACCTGAGTCAAAATTATAACGTTATGACCAGGATTGTTATTTACAATGACATTAAGAGACAAAAATATTTGCAGTAACAGTAGCCTTCACCTTCCTTCTCTCAACTATGACTGAGTGGGCTAAAATGTGCTAATTTCTTGAATCTAATGGCCATCACGATGCACATGATGGATGGGGGTGCAGCCAGAATATAAAGGAAACTTTTAGACTGTCACGTCTTCATAAATCTGTCTGGCAGTTGACTGAAGGCAAAGATCAGAGGTGTTATTTAAATTGGCAAGAGTTTAAATCTCTATAGCGGACACCTCGGTTGATAAACATGAACTTGGTGGATGATGACAAGCCCCTCTCACTACCACCAGACAGGAGGGATTGGGATCATGCAAAGGTAGATGTCTAGGACAATAACTCACTGGGGTATTGATCTAAGCTTGTCCTCTGCTGCAAGACTCTTCTGATTATAGAGGGATAATTGAACAGGACTCAATCCAGCTGGCCATCAAAGACCCCAGTAGAAGTCTTGTGGTAGCTGGCGAGGTTAACTCATGGTATGAGATACTGTAGTCGTCCTATATGCACAGCAACCACTTGCTGTGATGGTATTGATTACTGATGTTATATGATGTTACTGTAAGACAGACAAGAAGGTATGTGTGTTAGCAAACAATTATCCAGGCTTTATGTAGCTTTTCAAAGGGGATTTGCTGGAGGCAATCTTCAAAGTACAAATACGCCGGTGCCTCAGATTTCATCTTGGGAAGCTTTAAGATTCATTGATGTGAACATATGCACCAGCGCACACATACAGATAAACGCAGTCTTACAGCAAAACAGCTCTACATGGGCTGGAATTACAATCAGTTATGATCAAAACTCCCTGCTAGCAGCTCTGCCTCTGAAACAAACCTCCCTGAAGTGTTTTCTGAAGTCAAAGGTCAGAGTTCCAAGATCAAACCAAATTCACTGTGCAGGAACCTATGCTGCCCTTAGGTGGTAAATGTGGGGGAAGTAAAGCATTGGATCAACATCTGACAAACTCATTAGTGTGTGAAAGTCCCTCTAGTGTGGTGAGCATATATATTCTCATCTCACATCTTTAACATAGAGCTTAAAACTTGAGAATCTACCATGTTACTGGTCCTGTGTAAAGACTGAAATGAAGACTAAATATGGGCTTTTCACACTTCATAATTCAGGTTCATTTTAAATCCTTGGATAACACAATCCAGGATTATATGGCGGTAAATATTTTACACTGTTTACATTTTACTCTCTATACCGATGACACAGCAATTCAGTGGTTTTCAGGAGCAAGGCTTCATACATTATAAGGAAAGCAGCACTAACCCAAGTTATAAGTGCGAAGTTCTTAACCAGGGTCAACTCCGGGTCAAGATTTAACAAGACGTTTACCTGGAATTAGGTGTAGTGTGAAAAGCCTGGAAGAGATTTTTGGCCACAATTCCACCATCAACCGAAATGTTGTGCAGAGCCACAGGTAAGAAAAATCACAAAAAAGATCTAAACCGTTTCTTCTTAAACATCACAACTGTTTCTCCTAGACATCAGATTAAATGAAGAAAACTGATTTGTTTTCTTAAGTCACCTGTTTCTCAAGATACCAAAGTTTGCAATTCATTATGAACTCAAACATTTCTCAAAAACTTCTAATACCAAAATAGCTAAGCTCTGCCATGCTACGATTTGTTAATTTACCTGTATTCTTATTAGTTTCTATTATTGTTTCTCTAAAGGAATTTTAGGAGAAACATCTGAGACAAGGTTGACAGTTAAATGATATATACTGTAACTGAGAACTCAATTAAGTTATCTGACCTCTGAGAAATAAATACAGCACATTTCCTCTGGGAAGCAACAAAATCACAGCCAATTAGAACATACTTGGGGCCAGATTTACTAAAAAATATGCAAGTAAAAATAAATTAATTAAATTAAAGAACACATACTCCACCAGCTCATTTACATAATGCAAGATCAGCACAAATTAGCAACTATCGCAGTCATGTCAAGTGCAAAATGGGCTAAGATATACTTTTTATGGTGTTAAATAATCAGTGTTAAGAAGGTTACTTTGGAAATGTAATGGGTTACAGATTTAAAAGTAGTGTAACTATTTCAATTACTTTATTACAGTAATGTAACTAATTACATTTGATGAATTTTGTAAATTTCTAATGCATTTTTTCAACTGTTAATCATTTTAAAACATTTAAAGCAGGCTGGTTTAACCTTACAGTTAATCTTTAAAAATAAAGCATACACAGGAACCCAAATAGGTAATAAAACAGTTAACGAATAAGCCTGTGTCCTTAACTGCTGAAACATTGGTGTCTCATATTTTGGAGCAGCTGATGCAATTTGGGAGAGGAATCAATTAAATCTGTGTATGTGTGTGAAAAATTTCAGATGTAACCCCGTTTGTAATCGTTAAAATTTTCAGAACTGTAATTTAATTACACATTTTTCTCAGTAATTGTAACAGATTACAGTTACATTTATTTTTTAATTAAACTATGTAATTCCATTGTAACTAGTTACTCCCCAACACTGTAAATAATGGTGCAAATACTAGCAAACTGGCTACTGCAAACATTAGTAAATTACAATCCATAATTTATTTAAATAATCTCCTCCAATAAATTTTGTGTCTGAAAAGGAAACTCCTACAAATGCATATACAACAAGGTCAGCCACAAAAATAACTGTCCATGCCCTTTCATTACTATTTTTTCACTACATATCTTTAGTAAACCTTTACAGTATTTTTTTGTAGGTTTTTTTGATAGTAAGGTTTGCGCTCAAAGCTGTTAAGTAAATCTGGCCTTTGATGTTTAGTATTAAGCTACTTTATATGGTTTCATTTTAGACCGACAATATTTCACCATGCTAAAGCCAGAATCCAAGTGTTTTTTAAATTGTCTAATTGTGTGATGGTTTTAGCAGTCACAGCTGGTTATGACAAAAACCCAGGTTAACATGGAGCAGATGAACTTTTGCACTGTGCCTTGGTTTGTCATGACAGTTGACTTGTTTGGTTAATGAGGACAGTGAAATGTCATAATTAATCTCCACAGTGTGTTATGAGAAGCAGCCAGTAGGGATTCAACCAGCCTGAGGTCTTTGGCTCCAGACTATCTCACGAAAAACAACAACTACATATCTCGCCATAGTTATCCCATACACCGACGGCACCAGGGCCCAGAGGGCCGCTGCTGGCAGATGCCCATAACGGGCATGTTGACGACACTGCCGTCTAGCAGAAGTCACTCGGTTCAGTTTGGCACACACGTCATTGTGGATGAGTTAGCAAAGCGCTAATTAAAAAGTGTTGATTAGAGAGGTGGTGGTGCAGAGG